AACATTAACTTTTGATATCCTCCTCAACCACATGATAAACGGTGTTATTTTTAAAGATTCCTCAACCATTTTCCTAGTTTATGTTGAGTGGCTTATTTGAACTGTCAACCTTCTTCCCTTTTTAAAGAAAATTTGTGCAACTCTATGGGGAAGTATTCCCACACTCAAACATACTTGTTCAACTGTAGGACTAAACTACTATCAATTGTATTTCCTGATAGTATGCCTTAAATCAGTGATGGCAAACCTTTTAGAGACCGAGTGCCCAAACTGCAACCCAAAACCCACTTATGTATCGTCGGGTGCCAGGTGGGTGTGGCCCATTGGGTGGGCGTGGCTGCAGTGGTAACGGCAGACTGGGTGGGACTAAAAAGTTCAATCAATCAATTCCAACTTGTACGAGATCTTTTTTTTCCCCGTGAGAAGTTGAAATTGATTGATTGATTGAACCTTTTTTTTTTTTGCACATGGCGGCGGAGGCCTAAAGCAAAAAACTTTTATAAAATCCAGCTGAAGGCCTAGGACTGGGGCGACAGCCCGCGTGCCCACAGAGAGGGTTCTGAGTGCTGCTTTTGGCACACGTGCCATAGATTCGCCATCACTGCCTTAAATTCTTAGTACAATGATGACTGAGTTTTTTTCTGGTTCTCCAAGGTTATTGTTGTTGATAATGTTATTTATTTTATTTTTCTGCCCAGCAATGATATTCATAGCCAAGATTAATAAATTGCTATATAAGAACATGGCAAATAGACATACTGTGAATCTTTAAAGTCCCACTTTGTCACCAGAATAGGTACATTATTTCTTATTGCTTATTGACCAGCAACCTGTGGATAGAAAAGACCATTACCAGTAACCAATACTAGAAGACCATGGTTTGGAGCAGGCGCAAAAGTGAAAAACAAGCAGCTTTATCACTAATGATGTTTATGTTAGATGATCTTAATGACAGTCCTTATTACTATACAGAGGAGTTTCTGGAAGAATGGTTCTGAAGATACAAAAAATAAACATACAAAATATATGTGTCAATGATCCTTACCGGAACTGTGAGTTATGAAGAACACGAAAACAATCTTCACTCGGGTAGCAACGGTTTAATCAGGATCAACTTAGACGATCACAAAGACCTACAGCAATGAGGCTCTTTGCCAAAATAAAGTTTGCGCTGGGAGCTATTGCCTCCCAGTGCCGCCTAAATACATTTCCAAAGTCAACCCCACCCTCTACCTAATTACCTACCAACCACACCCCCACCCAACAATTCCCAACCCCACCCATCCACCCTCCTACACCTCACTTTACTATCAACCAACCAGCACCCTCCAGCAATTATAAGTCACATTTCTTCCATCTGGATCTTTCTTTGTGATGTCCTAGGATCTTCTCACAATGCTTTGTCTTCTTCGGGCTTCAACCTGTCAGCTGGGCGTCGGCTAACCTTTGAACACCTGATCGGCGGCTCACTGTTCTTCTGCGAATGCGCAGCCTTCCTGCGGCGCAGGCATGGCGTCCCAGATCTTTAGAACTGCCCGTTACTCAGTTAATGGCAGAATGCCCGCCGGAGGATCTCTAGCTTGCATTTCCAAGACGGTAGGCTTCGATTCCTGTGCTGGTTCCCTCTCTTTGCATGTCGAGCCCAGGAGGGCTTGACAGGCGGCCCCCCCTACCAGGTACCCTTCTGGAAATGGGTAAAACATACAGTTAGCTTGGTGTTATGGACGTTGGTACTCCTCCCCTTCCCCCTGGCTTCTGGGGATACTTGCGATGGTATCTACGTATTAACCAAGGGGCATTCACATCTGCCTCCCCCAGCCATGATGCCTTGGACACTGGGTAACCGCTCCACTGCACTAGATATTGCAATCGAGTCCGCCTATACCGTGAATCAAGTATCTTTCGTATTTCATAATGACCCCCCCCCATCGGACCAGGAGGTTGTTGTACCCGTCTGAATGAAGGTTTTATTACCGGCTTTATGGATATGCTTAATATGGATATTAAGCATGAGTATACATTTCTGAATAAAATCTATGCACAGAATGCACAGAATGTCTGCATGCCAGCTGTATAAATAGATAAACCATTTTCTTTCATGAAGTTCATATGATATTCTGTTCAAAATATTAAATTTGTCATGAAACTGTTTATATCACCTATTAAAAGTGAGTTCTTCAGCTGATGCAGGACAATAAATCAACAAAACATAACCCTACAAGGATCATATTTCACAAATGCAATGTCCTGATTCTTTTGCCAGTAGAACTGAATGTCTCGAGATTTTCAATTAAATTATATCATTCACTGCATAGTTCAAAAGCAGGGCCCCGACATAGTCCATTGTTTGCTTATAAGCAGAAGTACCTCACCTTAGGTCATGAACAACTGCATTATTCCTTAATCAGCATAAATTATATATTTTGGAATCTTTGGTTGTAGTTTAACCTGATAGCAATCCATTTTCTGCATACAGGTACACTTTGGCTATTCAATCAATAGAATTTATTCTTAAGTAATGGTCTGTAGGGGATGACCATCTTTGAAAGAGGCAATTTGCATTAGGAATCTCTGAATAAGTAATGACAGAAAGATTAAGCCTTAATCAATGTACAACCTTAGCATCCCCCACTTTTTGTGCTGAAAAGATGAAATGTATAGGTATTGCTATAGGGACATTTTACTTGGCAAGAAAGGAGTAAGGGGAAGGACCACTGGCCTCAATTTTTGGTGGGGAAACACCAGGAGACTATGCTCTTCTCTGATGGGAAGAAATCCATCTGGCCTAATCCATTCAACTGAAAGAACTGGAAGCCCTTTTTCCATATCCCTTCATTAAGGAAAAGAGGGCAACATATGGTTCCTTATCTGGATATGTCTTTTTGATGTTGTTTAAATAGTGGATCAATTTTCTAAAAGATATTCCAGGCAACACATTCATTTTTACCATAGAAATTCTTCCCAACAATGACAATTGTAATTTCCCCCATCTTAATGAGTTAAATATATGATTACAGGAATGGACAAAGTGAGCCATAATGCATCTTCTATTATTCCATAAAATTAGATTCAGAAGTCCATATTTCAAAAGTAATATTGAACATTTTTCAACAAACGTCTAGTGTCAGTTGGATGTTAAGCAAAACTTCACAAAACAGAGGGAAGATTAAAAGAAGGATCCTGGATATGATGGAGGCCCCAAACTGCAGGTTGGAAAAGGCTTAAGGAGGACTAGAAAACACATTTTTATAAATGTAGGCTGGAACTGAACCTAACTGAAATAAGTAGAATTTATTTCTGAGTAAACATGTCAAAACAAAAAGCAAATAACTAAAGCAAAAAAAAACTCAGGTTGGTGCCAGGCTTGATACATCCAAAATCACATTGGTAACATCCAAGGTTAAATGAAAAATGCAGAGACTTCAAAAAGCCATTTATTTTTGTTATACAAAGCTATTTTTAATTTGTGGACACAAAAATATGGATATCCCTTACCTCATTGACTATTGAAGAACTTGCAGGAAACAGCAGTTAGAACAGAGTTTAGACTGAGCAACTGTGGTTCAAACTGGGAAAGGACAATGTGAAGATTATATTGTTTCACCTTATTTCTTGGCAAGATATACTGTGAGAAATAGAAACTGGAATTAAAATTGCAAGGAGAAAGATCAAAAACTTTAGATATCCTAAGGATATGTAAGTAGTAGTGAAAAAATATTTAAGGAGCCGAGGTGGCGCAGCAGTTAGAGTGCAGTACTGCAGGCCACTTTAGCTGACTGTGTTCAGCAGGTCAGCGGTTCAAATCTCACCGGCTCAAGGTTGACTCAGCCTTCCAGCCTTCCGGGGTAGGTAAAATGAGGACCCAGATTGTTGGGGGCAATGTAAATATATATATACATTGCTTACTGGTGTACACCGCTTAGAGAGTGCTTGCACTTAAAGCGGTATATAAGTCTCATAAATAAATAAATAAATAAATAAATAAATAAGGAGTTTAAAGTGAAGATTAAAGTGAACTCAGAAGCTGAATTCCTGCTCAATAAAAATATAAAGGTGTTAGCTGGGCAATGCTAACAGCACTGTTTGCAGAAAGGATCAATACAGCAAGATGGTAGTTGAAGCCCCACCTTTTTTACTTCATTTAATGTCAACACACAAAAAGGCCAGGGTTCTGATTACAGCTGCCATCATGCCTATTTTGATCCCTCCTCTCCACTGAGGCTGATGGTACGGTATTAATTCAGTGCAGATAGGTGGAGAAATTGCAGGAATAACAAACTTCATCTTACTAGACTACAAAAATACCCAGAGAGGGTGACTATTGCCATGAAATAGATAACCTGGGAGACAAACTAGATGAAACATTTAAGTGCAGAAATGTCTTATGGACTAACAGGTGCTATTGCCAAGGCTGTGGCTGTTGTGAAATCTGGATCATTAAAAAAGCCAAATCAGGAAAAAAATGCTTTTGAATTGTGCTGGGTAAATTTATTGGACTTCAAAAAGAACAAACAATTCAAAACTAGATTAAATAAAAACACTGGAAGCACTAATAGTGATGCTAAAGCTTAAACAGGTGACAGGTAATACAAAGTCATTGGAGAAAAACCTGACACTCAGAAAAATCAAAAACAGTTAAAAGGCCTGTCGAAAACAAGGGAACTAGCTATATTCTTTCACTGAAGACGACAGCACAAGTTTGCAAAAAATGAGAGAAGCAGTTGCTGAGAGACAATTCTTGTGAAATGATGTTCATCTGGTCTCATAGAGTTGGAAGTGCCTGAATGACTAAAGAGGTTGTCAGGAAGATCAGTTTCAGCAACGGAACTTGTATAATACTTTTATATCAGGAATGAATTATGACCAGGGTGATTGCACCAGAATTTCCCCCTAAGCCCTCCATAATCATTCCCTAGATTTTTTTTTAAAAGCAGCTACCTCTACAGTCCAGCCCTCTGGTTCACTAACAACATTAAGCAACGCTTGCGATGTTTATTTGTAATTACCGTATTTATTCATTGGCCAGAAACTACTCAGGGGAAGGACCAGAACATGGCTGGAGAGGCAGGAGCCAACTGCAAGTTAAAAAAAAAAAAAAAAAAAGGCTGGTAACTGATGGTCCTGAGAGGTAAGAAAAGCAACACGGTTCGACATCATCTCAGCTGTTAAAATAATGTAGCTCCCTTCTATCCCTCCCCGCCTTTTTGGCTTGCCACTGCAGCAAATCTTGGGGGAAGAGGGCGTAGGGACAAGAATTGCCCGGGAAGGAAGCGGGCGGAACGCCGCATGCAGGTCCGAGGGCCGCGCCGCTCGTCCCCTTCCCTTGCCCAAGTTGCTGCATCACGACACCTGCTCGTCCCCTCCGCGCTATTCTCACTCGCCCCGTAGCTCTAACACCACCCCCGCCCTGCTACGCCACGCCCCGTCCCGGTCCGGTCCTCTCGGGAGCTGAAGGAAACATCTGCTCCCTCGCTTCCCCCCTCCCGCCCGCATGCGCGCTCTTTTAACTCTGCCCTCCCCCTGCTCATTCGCCTCCCGCCTCCCCTGTGACGGCAGGGGCTGCAGCTGCTGGGCAGGAAGAGTGTGGCCGGGTCTCGACGTCATCCTGTGCAGTGCGCGGGGCATTGAAAGGTGAATGGCAGAGAGGGCGAGAAGAGCGCGAGCGACTGTCAGCCCAGCCTGCAGCAGCAGCAGCAGGAGGAAGAAGGCGGCGCCGTGGTTTGCTTTTGCTCTTCCCAGGAGGGGCGCCCGCAGATAATGGAGCGGAGGCGGTAGGAAGGTGTCGCGGGGGAGGCAGCAGCAGCAGCAGCAGCAGCAACGCCGGAACAAAAAGCGGAGTCACTGCGCCGTGTCTTCCCTTCGCCTCCAGCAATGTGAGGAAAGAAGTGCCGTGACCGCCGCTGCGTGACCGCTCGACCGCCGGTTCCTTTCAGGGGCAGGGGGCAGTGCCGCCCCCCCCCCGCTGCTCCTAACCATTCCGACGAGGCAGGCGATTCCCTTCATCACCGCCCGCCCTGCCCCCCCCCTCCCGCAAAGCTATGAGCCATGAAGCCGCCTGGCAGAAGTTCTCTGCGGCAGCCCTTTTCTGGCAACTGCCGGCACCGCCGGTCCTCTAACGCTTCCTTCTCAGCCTGCCTGGCGCGGCTGCCTCTGCTCGGCTTCTTCCACCGTTTCCTTTTGGCGTTCCTGCTGCTCTGCTGGGGACGCCCAGAGAGCTGTGGGGTCATTGCGGACACCGGTGAGTGCGGATGAAAATGGGCTGGAATCTCCCCTTCTTCCTCCGCAACGTATGGTGTTTGGGAAGTCAGCCCTTTTCTCCTTCGCCCTGCTGTTCGCTGCCTTTTGAGTTACATGCCAATGCAGATAAATAGCAAAGCCCGTTATCTAGTTATTCTTTCTTCCCCGGTATCCCTTTGGACTCCCCATTTACCCTGTCATGCTAGTTTCTTCTGATCGTGACAGCCCTCATACAGCACCCCGTGTTTTGCTCCTCGTGGTTAGAGGCTTTGCTGATCATTCACCCGTTAAGTATGTGCATACAGCTTCTTCTACACAGATTCATTGACACGTTTCTATCCTGAGGATAGCATTTTGTTTGATCATCTGCAGCAAATCGTTAATTGTGTTTGCAACTGAATTCTTCTTCTTTCTTTTCCTTCATGCATTTGTGAAGAGGAGAGAAAAAAAAGTTCTTATTCTCATATTGAAGATTCTTGATTGGTGTATATAGATATATGGTGCAAACTCAGGCTTATGACCATGGGCAAGATGCTGATGCAGCAAAATATTTTTGGCAGGTTGTCAGAATTGTCATTTTTTGTGGATCTTATTTAAGAAGTATCTGAAGCAGAGTATGTGGGGTTTCTGTTTAGGGAAAGATATTTAGAATTGAGTTGAGAACTCATACATAATATACAAACAGAAAAAGGAACTCCCCTGTGAAGATAACTCTTAAGCATAAAGAAATATTTTCTTCTGTATGATTTCTAGTATTTAAATATTTATTTTGAAAGAATCTAACTGAATTTCTTGAGATATTTTTGTTTAATAACTATACTTAGAATTTGCATTCTTATGGTTTATGTAAAGGGAATTGATTAATATTCAATGGACACATGAATTCCATTTTTGAGAAGTTTGCAGATTCACAGATTTTGATCAATATTTCTGAAGAAAACTGACTAAAGAGTCATGGTGTTTGGGATCTCATTAAAAGAACTTCCCTTCTGAAAAATGTTTTTTTTTACATTTAGATTATTATGTAAAATACATTGTATTAAATACCCAATATTTTCTGTAATTCTTTCTGCAATACTTTGTAATACTTTCATAAATACTAGGAAATATTTTAATAATGCATGTTGGAGTCATCGGAATGATATCCTTTTGAAGGAAAATTAACAGAATTTAAAGCAGCTTATATAAAATGTTCGGTTTCTCTGGTTTAATGTGGACCTGTCTGTCTCCCCTAGCTATCCATTGGAATGAAACTCTGGAAAAAACAGAAACCATACTGGCAAATGAAGACACTGCATTTCAACAGAGTAACAATAGTAGTAGCAAAAATAACAATTACAGCAGTGCATTCCAAAAAGAAATCACATTGCCTTCAAGACTTGTTTATTATTTGAACAAAGACTCTGAAAGTCCTTACCATATTTTGGATACTAGGACAAGATACCAGCAAAAACACAGTAAGGTAAGAATTTCTAAAAAAAGGAACATCCAGTACAGTAGCTCAAAATAGTCCTGTCCCTTGAGGGATAGTCTTACTTTAGGAATGTCTATTCGGCAGATTGTTAATACCTCTGTAAAATTATTGCTGCATTGACTTTAGGTGCCAGGAATGGCTGTCGGTTGTGAAGCTTAGTATCAGTACTGTAGATAAAACAAAGGAATATGACCTGAATTTCTATTAGAGGTTTAGATTCCCCCCCCCCTTCATTTTAACCAACTTACTTGAGTTAGAGAAAGGGGCATAGTAAAAACTAAATATCTTTCACATGACAGGTATAGGAGATCTTGATGTGTTATAGATCCAAATTCTTTGTCTTTAGTAGATGTGCATATGTGTATGTATGTACACACACATGCACACACACACTAAAACTGCATTTTCCTGTAGCTAAACGCAGTCACGGCTAAACCTTATTTAAAACAATGACACTTAAATAAATTATAATTCACTTGTATCATTGCTTCAATTGTATGTTTAAATGAGTAACCTTACCTGTATCAAGACCTGCAGAGTTCACATATCAGAAAAGCAATATGGATGAACTTATTATAAGAGCAATTTAGAAGACTGCTTAGAATTTAGTCTATTGTGATTTCATGTTATGCATTAGAGAGTCTTGTTTTTACTGTTCTCTTCCCAAAGTAATAATTAGGCCAAATGTGATTTGTCTCTCTTGTTATGATATGAGATCATATATTGCAATACTTTTATGAATGTTCCATTTCTTCTCTAAAGGTAGTATTTCAGTAGTCAAATAGCCATTTCTCAATGTTGTATTATCTAAATATGTTACATTGCTATTGGACACAATTATGGTTAGTTTGGGATTGAGGAGCCAACCACTTCAATTCTTAATAGACAAAATTAAGAATGCATGTCTATTTTTTAATTCTTAATTTTTTAAGTAATACACGTTAAAAGGCAAGAACTTTTTTAATCATTAATAATTTGATGTGCTTTTCATTGAATCATGCTTGATAGTAACTCATAACTTTTGGAATGATATGGCTTATTCCAAAATGGATCTATCCAAAGAAATGCATGACTTTGGCAAGATGGGCAATTTCAGAAATTTGATTTTTTAATTTATTTTATTAATCAGTTCAGTAAGCAAAGTAATGAAGTCTGTGTGCCACTTGACTCATTATTTTGAAACTCAGGAGACCTTTGGCAGCTGTTTCTGATGAAACATTAGAAACTATTGTCAGATAAAGAAAACAGGGCATTCCCAGTGGTATATAGAGTATCTCAACAGGACCAACACTGAAGAACATGAAATTAATATCTATTGATCATATAAATATTAATAATGAATCCAGAGTGACAGTATGCTTGGCGGACATTCTCAAGAGTCTATGCTGCTGTGATCTTTCCAGAGTACTTTTCTCTTCTTACTATAGACTTTTATGTTTCAGTGAATGCAGCGAATGCAATGAATGCAGCTCTAGAAAGCAGCTTTTAGAAGTGACTTTTTAGGAAGCAATACAGGTAGTCCTCCACTTACAACAATTCATTTAGTGACCGCACTGAAAAAAGTGACATGATCATTTTTCATAGTTACAACTTTTGCAGCATCCCTATGGTCATATGTTCAAAACTCAGATGCTTTGCAACTGGTTCCTAATTAGGATGGTTGCTGTGTCCCAGGGTCTTGTGATCATCTTTTATGACTTTCTGACAAACAGAGTCAATGGGGAAGCCAGATTCAGTTAATAACCAGCTTACTAACTTAACAACTGCAGTGATTCACTTAACAACTGTGGCAAGAAAAGTTGTAAAATGGGACAAAACTCACTTAACAAATGTCTCACTGAACAAGAGAAATTTTGGGCTCAATTTTGGTTGTAAGTTGAGGACTACCTGTATAATCAATCAGATCAGAGTAGAGCGGGAAGGGACCTTGGAGGACTTCTAGTCCAACCCCCTGATCAAGCAGGAGACAAGTGACTGTCCAGTCTCTTCTTAAAAACCTCCAGTGATGAAGCAACCACAACTTCTGATGGCAAGCTGTTCCATTGTTGTCCTCACTGTTAGGAAGTTTCTCCTTAATTCCAAATTGCTTCTCTCCTAAAGATGATGCAAGGCTGATTTGAACCAAGTGCTTGCACAACACAGTTGTGTGTTCCTTTGAACTATGGGGGTTTGGCACTAACTCATCACTTATTGCTTTTATATTTATGTTCATAGGTGGAAACATTATCCCAAATAAGAAAATACATGTATTTTGTTAGTTAAAAGGTCCCACCTCTTATGAGAGATGATGATTTTGTACAAGATATATGAAGTGGCATAGATAATTAGTAAAATACTGTAACTAAGTGTTTAGTTTTGTGTGAAAGTTATTCAGATGAGATATAATTCATTGCTGGAATTAAACAGATACTGTTTCTCATGTTCCTTGGTATATACTTATATAGATATATTAGTGCAATTGCAGCGGTTCCAACTCCTTATTCCAGTATGGTCTTTGCTGTTACTATCCTGAAAAAAATAAGGATTATTGTGGGTAGCAGTACTCGTTTCCCAAGTTCTGTGTCCTTCCTCTACCCATCAAGGGAGGGAGGCAGCTGTTTCAAGTGCTTTTTTTGTATTGCAGTGATTAATTACTGCACTGAGAATATAATTGTTACTAATTCTGCCTGCATTAAGAATATAGTAGTCTCTAGCTTTGCCAATGCAGCTAAAACTTTTGAAGTAATTGTTACATCTTTTAATAGCAAGTATTCCAAATATTAATCCTTATATAGCCAAAACAGCATTATCCATATAGAGCAGGGGTGTCAAACTGCCAGCCCACAGGCTGTATACATCATAGCAAAACCGCCCACACCCCATTGCTGGCAATGGCAAAAAACTTGCGATACATCGCAACACGTCCACGTGACATTGTGAGTTTGACACTCCTGATATTAATAAGTATTTGCACAAGTTTAAAGATTTTTACATTAATGATTTAGGAGAAAAATGGGGCGAGAGAAAAGCAATTCAGCAAGAATTGCTCATGAGAACCAGTCTAAATAAAAAGAAGGAAAAAAATGAAATATCCAGGAAAGATCCCTGACTGGCTGAAAAGGAAGACATAATACTGCAATATTTTGCTGCATTTTCCATGTTTTAACTTCATAGTCCCGCTGAAATTGTTTTGGGAAAGTTAAATAGAATAATTTAGCTCACAGCATTGTTAATACTCATTATCTTGAGTTCTCTGGAGCATAGCTTCCAATGTGGCAACTGACAGAGTATATGGTTAATATAACTGTTAAATTAATTATATGCCAAGACTTCTGTATATGGAAAGAGGATAGTACGATTAACTAAACCCTAAGAGCTTTTAGTCAAGGTAGGACAACAGGCGTGGTCGGTGGAGCCCAAAGAATGATTCAGCAGAAAATGCTTGACAGAGTAAAGTGACTCTAAATATGTGTCAGATGAAAGTTTTCTGCTAATGTACTATTCTGGAGGAGAGTCACCTCTAGGTAAGATGGAAGGAAGGATTATATGATATCAAGCCAGTGTAAGACCTTCTTTATATAGTTGGGACTGCTTCAGAGGAGTTTAGAGGATCATTTACATGCTAAGCCAGTGATGGCGAACCTTTTAGAGACCGAGTGCCCAAACCGCCACCCAAAACCAACTTATTTATCGTAAAGTGCCAGGGCTGCATCAGCATTGTGGTGCCCTCAGGGGGGGTGGGGGGGTGTGGCCCACTGGGTGGGTGTGGCTGTGGTGGTCATGGCAGACTGGGTGGGCATGGCCACCTTGATGTTACTCATGGGGGTGCCTGTAGGGGCCAGGCAGGGTTGGAGGAGATCCAGGCAGTCTCTGGTAGATGAGGCAGTGGGCAGCAGGCTTGTCCTGCAGGGAGGGGGCAGGGAGGGGGTACCATTGCCAAGGGGCAAGGCAAGGCAAGGCAGGTGCTGGGGCGGCGGCTGCCTGACACCATCGGCCCTTGCACACAGAGGCCAGCGAGCCCATGGGGGCCGACAGTGTCCGCCAGTAACCACAGCCTGCCGGCTATCCTGCATCATGGCAAACTGGTCATGGAGCCTCATCGGCATGGGCAGAGACGGCCTCGGTACACTGGAAGGAAGCCCTTGCCTGGCCGGGAGTTGTGATTAAGTCATGGGATAGAAACTGGGACACTGTGAATTCTAGTCCCACTTTAGTCACAAGACTAGCCAAAAGGGTCAAAGAGAACATTTTGCACCAAATGAGATGTATCAAAATTTCCTATCCTTTTCTAACAAGAACATCTAAGATTAATCAATGTTGGAACTGTCATGAAACAGAAGGAACATTTTATCGTATGTGATGGATATATTAAAAAAACCCTAAATACTGAAAAGACATACATAGTGTAATGCAGAAAATCTTTTAATTTAAATTTGAAATGAAACTAATTTTTCTTACTAGGCACAATCTCAGAAAAAATAGCAAGAAACATAACTGTGTGAGATGTGTGAGAACAAATTTTGCTCAGTATTAGAAGAAAGATACAATTCTGACAACATCTGATTGGAACTTACAATGAGAAAATATGCAGCAGTGGCAAAACTAACTATATATATATATGTATGTATATATATATATATATATATATATATATATATGTGTGTGTATATATATATATATACACACACACATGCACATACACACACACATACATACATATATATACACATAGATACATACATATATACATACGTACATACATACATATATATTTTTAGGTTTTAGGTTTTGCTAACAAAGAATAAAGAGAGAATGGTATAGCTATTTCGGGTTCCTTTAACCCTCATCAGCCAAACTTACTCTTCTGAGATTCGAACCTGGGCTATCTGCATGTTAGGCAGATGTTATAACCTCTAAGCCACGGGTTCTCTCCCACTTTGTTAGCTACCAGGAGAGAGACAGGGGGAGGAGATTTTTACCTTGAAAAGAAAAGAAAGAAGATTTCTTTC